GATTAAGTTTAAACTTTGAAGTTTGAACTCACCACAGTTCTTCCTGTGGTGGCCGTACCCTCTGTGGCATCTTTGCTCTTTGTGTGAGTTCATAATGTTCTTTATGGCTCTGGGTGCTTTGGTGCACGAGTTTTGGATCTAACAGACCCCTGACGGTGTTGTCCAATACATACTCTCAACTTAGTTTGCGGATATGCTCCCTCGAACCTGCGACGGATCTCCAGCAGGCGTCACTGTTTCCCCTCTCTCCAGCCTGCAGTAAACAGAAGAAAAACCAAAGAGGCTTCTGTTGGAGTCCTCATTATCAGGCACTCAGAGCACCAGCTCTGACTTTAGACTGTAGGTGGTTGCACTAGAAGCCAATTGGTTTCTGCCAGTTCTGGACTTTGTCCAAATTCAATTTCAAAGAGAAGACAGCTTGATGAGTTTTTAATCTGCTGTGTTTGGCCAAACACTAATTCCTGTCTGCAGCCTTTACAACACCTGAGATTTTACTACATCCAAAATGAATAAACCAACAAATCCAAAGTATTTTGCGTAAACACTAACAGCACATATAAAATAATAATCTAAGATTCACGTGTGAAGTCAGTTTTAAAGCGTTCGTGCTCGAGGTTCCAGCTGACTGAGGCCTTTCACAGCATGTCTGAACCTCCTGGAATGCAGATATGTGATAAACTGCCTTTAGAGGTCAACAAGTTGCAGGACTGCATGCAGCAACTTTTCCCGTATCTTTCACTCTCAGAAAAAACAAATTTCTACACAAGCTTCTTTCATTTCTGCCGACTTTTATGCTCAGTGTCAATTTTTGCACGGCCTTTGTTTTTTTTCCTCGTCAGCGAGTCTTTTCGCGGCGTGCAGATGAGCACTTCAGAAGTTGTCGTGATGTGCTTTTCATAACCGGAACTGTTTTGAGTCGCTGTCTGCTTCAGTGTGGGTCGTGTGCTACAAAGCAGGATTTGGGGCTCAGCGAGGTGACTTTAGGGTTAACCCTGAGTTTTCAGGGTCACAAAGCTGTTTGACTTCCTGCTGGGGTGCATCGCCTTGGTAACTTAAGCCACACACCAAATGTTCACCTGAGCAGATTATCATCGACACACATAAAAACCATCACATAGCGACTAATCTGTTAGTGTCACGTTTCCTGGACGATCCATCAAACCTCGACTCTGTGGGACGACAACAGTAAGGTGTTCAGTTTTTAGAAACGTCTTTCCTTCATGAGCATCACTGAGAAATGTGCTTATGTAGCTGTTTTATTCCTTGTTTTTCCACTTAGCTGCGAGTCATTTTAAAACCATTAACCTGCACACTATTACATCTTGTACAAAGCCTTGGTACCAGGTTGAATTTGACTGTTGTTTTAATTGTTCCTCACTCGCTCTCAGACTGTTTAACGCTGCGGGGCTTCAGCTGAATGACATCTAAACAACATGGAAACTTAACTACATGTCACATGTTTAAATGATGGTGCTGTGAGAGTCGTCTCACTTACTGCAGAGATTTTTATTACGATACAGCTGTGACGTGCTTTTGCTCTCGCTGCTGCCGTGGCTCTGTGCCTTTTGTGATGTCGCTCCTTATTTTAACCCACATCACTTCTGATTGGCCTGTTCATGGTCACTTTCCATGTGAGGTGATTTACAGCTGATGGCTCGGCTTTTTGATTTGATAACACTCAGCATTTGTGCCAACTGGCCTCGACACCTTTATTGTAACAGGCGGAGAAGCCTCGATCGCCAGACCTTGTGACATTTCTCTCTGGAGTGATGATGAAGTGACCCTTGACCTTAAGCCCACATGTGGTCCCGCAGGTTTCGAGCGGCTGTCCGTCAGTCCTGGAGTCCTCTGAGATTTCCACAGAGGAGGGCAGAATGAGTCGCTTCCCTCGGCCTGAGCTGGAGATCTCCTTCAGCCCGCTGCAGCCCAACCGCATGGCTCTGCGCCGGCAGGGAGAGGAGGGCGCCGTCACCGTCAAAATCACCCGCTCAGCACGCAAGAGGAAGAGCGGCGAGATGGAGAAGGTAAGAACCAGTAAAATGAAAGCTGCTCGTCATCAGGATTATCGAGGAAGTAAAAATCATAAATTAGGAGGTTTGTTTTTGTTATTGGCTGAACGTTGCATTTAATATTTCCCACATTTCCAAACAGGTGCAAAAATAGTGCGCACGCAAACATCACACTTTAAATGAACCCACACTCGTAACAGTGCGTCCCTCTAGGTTTCCCAGAAATAAATCAAATGGGGGAAAAACCCAACTGCACACAGAAGCCTGAGCCGTGATCCAGCTACAGTTTCCAGGTACAATCAGGGGTGAGGGTTGTTTATTTCTCCACCATGTTGTGTTCAGAAAATCTTCTCTCAGCTCCATTAATCCAGCCGGTGCAGGCTGAGCATGGTTGTCCTAACACGTACCTTTTGCAGCAGCAGCTGTAAACAGTGTTAGATTTGTTGCTTTCTCTCCAGCAAAGAGAAAACGAACAGCTGTGACGTGAAAGTCAATTTATGCTTCTAGGAATTTCTGCACTTCATAGTCTAACAGTAAAGCAGGCAGCAGCAGTTATTCAAGTTTGTTTTTTCTAGTTGGTTTGTAGTTTTATTTCATTTCAAGTTTTTATTTTGCATTTAATTTCACTTCAGTTCATTTCCAGATTTGCTTGTTTCAGTTTCTGTTGTGTTACTGTCATGCACGGTGTTTGTCAGGCAAGACTTCAGTTCACAGCTTTGTGGAAGGCAGTGGGTTCAGTCCTGCAGACGAGCTCCATAAAAAATGTCTGTAGTTTCTACACAGATGCACAGAAGCCCTTAAATGAAAGCTAAAAGTCTGCGCTTCGGTCGGGTTTGACTGGTTGCTAATTTAAAAGCTTCCTGGTGTTTTTAATGCTCTGCTGGATCTTTGAGTGGTTGGTTGGTGACGAAGAAGTTTTGCTGACGTAAATGTTTCCTGAAATGACCACACACAACACAGATGCACATAAAATGTGTCCAGTAGAAAAGATTTTTCAAGGACCAAAAAAAAAAGTAATTTTTATTTAACATATTTCCCACAAAGAGCTCCATGTAACTGCCAGGAGCTCAACGTGTAGTCTGCATACTGTGTAGGCAATGTGTGACTCACACAAGTAACAAAGTCGATCCATTCCCATCTGTGCCATCTGGAAACGGATCACATAAGTTTTCATCCTGTGAAATGGTCAGCGCCGCGGATGCTCTGTGATGCTCTTGGAAACCAGTCCCAGAGTGGGCTGAAGGGGCTTCGTAGAAACGGCTCTCAGACGGAGGCATGTATAGAAAAGTGAAACTGCACTGGAAGCTGAGCAGAACTGTGGACCTGCGCTTGGGTCGCTCGGTTGGCTTTGACCAATCCTAAGGAAGCACATGTAAATATTAAAGAGAACATGAATACGTGCACACACCTCTGGTGGTGCATTAAATTGTACAACTTCAGTTTGTTGCAGAGAGGAAGCAAAACCAATGTGTGTGCATCTAAAGAGAACATAACAATCATTCAGAGCGAAATATGGAAATAGAATATTTTAAACATCGAGTACGGTTCATTTGTAGCGCCAATAACATTATCCAAGTGATTCCTTCAGATGTAACACATTCAGTGCAGATGATAAACACCAACACATGTAGCAGCCACATATGACACTCATTCATCATAAATACCAGGAGAAACACTCATACTTCCCCCCCCTGAGAACACGTTAAACGACCCCACACTCACAAGCAGACGAGGTCGAGTGCAGTTTATTCGCTTCATTCGACGTATCGCTCTTCCTGTCTTTGGCCCAAAAGATTAATGCTTGTTGCAGACCTGTGTGTTACAGATCATTCACTCCTTCTGTCACGCTGACAGACTATTTTGAAAACTTAACATGGCTGTGTTCAAGAAACTAATTTTTTAAAAATATGTTGATGTAAAGTGAAAAATAACACACTGCAAATATTTCTTTGTTTTGTTTTTAATTGATGGCGACTCAGCCCAAAGTCGGCGTTTCCTTTCTCTGTCAGGATCAGGGGTATTATTTTTATATGCTTCCAAATATTGCCACACTGAAGTGTTCTGGTTTTCTCAATAACATTAGACGCAATTTTCCAGACCTGTCACCGTGTTGCTCCTATAAACGCCACGTTGTCCTTATTTCCATATAATCACAAGAGGCAATGTGTTTGGGAGGCGCTGATAAATCCAGAGTGCTGAGGCATGAAAGTGCCTTATGGCAGTAATTCATACTCACACGTGCTCAGTGTTTTTAAGTTTACTACTGACAAAGTTAGTTTAAAAGCAGCTTTGTTAAGACCCAACAGTAAAGTTTCCCATTTAGAGCATGCCAAACTTTGGGGTCGGGTCAGGTTAGCTCTAAGCCGTGTCTGGGTTAAGAAATGTCGTCTTCTTTGGTCATTACCCAGAGCTCGTGGTTGTAGGTGGTGGTAAGAACGTAGGATGAGTGTAGGTCGACATCTTTGCCTTTACACTCAGATCTCTCTTCTCTATACAGGAAGTCCTGAAAATGCACGAACCTTTTAAAGCAGCAGCATCGCTCGAACCCTTTAGTAGGATTTGGTTTTTAGTTCAGTCCAGCAAATCACACTGACGCTTTGCAGCAACGAGGAGCTGTTTATGGAGGCGATTTCATTGGGAGAATTCTGGTGTGTTTTGCACTTTTCTGTTAAAATGCACGACTCTGATCAGTCCACAACAAAAACTAGTTTGGGGGTTCCTGTGATGTAGAACTGTGGACTATATTTAACATCTCGACCTTATCCTGGCACGTCCACACATTCAGGTTTTGTCACAGTGACAGCAGCAGCATGCAGCTCGTATAAAAGCTGACTATCCTACATGACTGCACTGTTGTTACACGTTCCTCTCCTGCTGTGAAAACAACTCACTTTTGTGGTCATCATATCTTTCAGTTTGACATCCTTGCTCATGGACTCGTTGGCACTGTTTGACAGCAGATTTCACAGGTTCAGGCAACAATAGGAACTGTTTGTGACCAAGAGCAAGGGCATGAAGGATGATGTAAACAAGCAGGATCAAATTTGGGCTTTGACCATACAGAGAAAAGTAAAACCAAATGTTAAAGGAAATTTGGTTTACAGAGATTTCTCAAACATTGAAACAACAATAGGACGATGAGCTTTCACAGATGAAGACTCATTACCTCTATAGTAAGGGAACATGGTGATGGTAGAAGGCAGCTTTCATTTGTGGGAGAAGTGCATTTCTCAAAAATAAAGTGTACAAAGACGTGCATTTTAATGACAGCAGTCACCTCAGGTTGTTGTCGTAGTTTTGTAACTGAATCTAACTAAAAAATGAATTAATACGTTTTATGTAAATGCTCTTCAGACTCCATTTGCCTGATCCATCATGGCACTCGAGCCCTCTTCACTCCACAAAAAGCGCACCTTGTTGAATAAAAGATGAAGATCATATTGAGTTGGTACCAGGAGGAAAGCTATTTAGAAACTAAATGATTCAATGTTGTGATGAAGCAACTTAAGATGTTCCTCACTCATGTGTTCTTCACTCAGACTTTTAAAAATTGGGGTTAAAAAAGGGCGGACGAGTAGGGCAGAGGATTATTTGCAATAGTAGTGCCAAGGAGGTACTCGAGTGTTCGGCGCTGAGACCGCGTAATGGTCTGTGTGAGCTAGAGCTCCGGTCGTGTCGTCCGACCACGTCTGTTGGACAATACTATTAATGCCGTTCAATGGAAAACAGACAATAGAACTTATTTTGAGGTGACTGCTGTGACACCAGTGCTGCTGGTTTGGCCCCATACTTCTCTCTCATCTCCTGACAGTGCGCCAGTTAGTTAAATCTGATTTTATAACATCAAGCAAATTATATGGAAACCGAGACCTTCAACAGCTGTACTCACGTGGGAAAATGCCCTTTTATAGAGGGAGAACGCTCCAGTAGAACCAGATGTTTGGGAACGCAGACCACAAACAAAGAACACACACATTATTATAAAATGGATTGCAATAGAGTTAGTGGTTACTAGAATGTGTTTGAATTTGTTCAGCACTTTGTTATAATGTTACAATATTAAGCATTATTAAGGTTGGTAAGGGTTCATACCCCTGGGAAGGTATTAGCAAGTGTTTCATTCATCATTTTTATAGCATTACTACTTCTTAGTGTGCCTTTTGTAATTATACATGTATTACTATGACGATGATCACGATTACTCCTTACATATTTACAGCATGTTCAGCAGTGATAGCTGTACATGCTGTAACAGTAACAGCAGCATAAATGTATCTGTGTTCATACATGACATAGTAAAGAAGAGTCATGATATAGAAATGATGAGTCATTTACAGCAGGTGTAAATACTCCTGCTGCTGTTTTGGTACCAGCAGCAGGAGTACTTACACCGGGGTAAGAGCCGTGCGATGGAACCCAAAGTAATTCCACTAATGACTGTTGTTCTGCTGACTGGGCTCAGTTCAAGAGAGAAAACTGGAACAAAAACAGAAGGCAGGGAAGTAATGAAAAAAAAGATGAATGGCTTTGTGTTGGGAAGGGGCTGAACCGATGTGACGTTACATCAGATTTTATTCTCGTATCTGGGGCGCTTCAGTCAACATTTATGAACACGAACACCGGTTTTAAAAGGCAGTCTAAAAAAACCCTCACAGAGACGCTGAGACAAATTCTGCACTAGATTTATTTGTTTGTTTGTTTGTTCTAAACAATGAGACAGTCTAATAAAAATCCTCAGTTAAAGCCCAAATGTTTCATGGAGTAGAAAACATCAACGGAGGCGTCCTCATCTGTGCAAACAGAAAAATAAGGCGGGAGGTTGTGGAAGAAGAAGGTATACAGGAAACAAATGAGGGGGAGGAAAGTTTTAAAATCAGAGTGAACTGGGCCAGTATAAATTTGAGGAAAAGTGCAGAGGGAGGCAGAGGCAGCGCAGAAAATTGAGAGATTGGTTGAGAGTAAGGAAGGAGAGTGTCAGCCAGGAAGGAAGAAAAGAAACAAGGCAGACGGGAATC